TGGTGGCAACATGGTGATTTGATTGGTTGATCTGTTGAAGGTTGTAGCGATGGCTGTACGACTTTCTGGTCAACCGTTTGTTGTAGCGAGATGGTGGCGCTTGGTGGTCGCTTTGTAGAATTGGTACCGATACTCACTGTTGGTATACAAAGGCAAGGTCGCCCATTATCTAACCGAAGAGGTTTTTTCTTCTTAGCGATTACGATGCCATCGAAACCCGCAGAGCAATGGTCCTTAACGTCTATGTATAGTTGACTCAGAAGCCACCTAGATCGTACCGTGCCAACCAAAAAACGATTTGAAGGAACGGAACAAAAGGTCGGTAGACTTAATAATTGGAATGGTAAATATATCACTGCACTGGTCCACATGCTCATCTGAGTTAAAGAAAAAAATATTCTGCATAAAATTCTTTCACCCATTGACTTATCATAACATTGCTGCATCCGTAGCATTTCGATATACATAATCTATTCAAATTACGTAACATCCCTTCTAGCAATGCATACCAGTTGTGTTGCCGATGCATGGTTAAATTACGTTGAACATTTGTGAACGTCTTGCAACGGTCAAATCCCCGTTCTAAACAATACACTTTTTGTAGAATTTTTGTTCATTACATATTTTGAAAATAACGTGTCAAAAGATGTTAGTCATGCAAGTGCATTTAAGTGTTGAACCTGAAAAAAATAAACAAAGAATATTCAATTGACCAGCAAATGAAAGGCTTTGGCTATTAGAGGATTTCAAGAATAAAAGCACTGCAAACATATCAAGACCAACAATTGAAATGGCCTCAACTCCATTTTGTAAACAAACCTTGTAAGGCCATTTTCTCGGGAACCGAAACCTACATTCGCAATTCTAAACCACAATCGGGTAGAGGAGAATTTCCCCTACCTGTTCATTCTGTTGTTTTGCCTTGGCGGACTTCGGTTCGCGAGAAAATGGCCTTACAAGGTTTGTTTACAAAATGGAGTTGAAGCCTTTTCAATTGTTGGTCTTGATATGCTACCTTTCCTCTAAAATAGAAATGGTTTGTGGTAACGCATATGAAATGTCGGTCAAAGCAACCAAGTTTCAACAGCCTGTATTTCGTTTACCTACACCTTCCAGAACTTAGAGCTCTGCCGTTCTAGAATTAATCGTAGCACATGAGATCAACGCGAGCCTCGCGCACGCCAGGATTTTTGGGTGTCGCATGTATTTCTCGCTCGTATCTTATTTTCGCGTTTCTTTTTCTCTCTCGTCACATATTGTTTTCGTTGCGACGGGAGACGGTTTATTGAGAGTCTCGGCAGCACATACGAGGAAAATGTAACTCTGGTTAAGTGAAATTCACTTCAGTTTTTCGTGATTTCATGGTATGAAAATTTTCTCGTCGTATTTGTATCTCAAAAATGGCGATGGAAGAAAGTGTGCATTCATCGTTGTTGAAAGTGTTGGAATTCCCAGGCTACTTCATGCTTTCAAGCGTAAGTTTTATAATTTTTACAGATCAACGCTCATTTATAAATTAAAAATAAAATTGCAGAATATGAGAGAATTTCAATTTTTCTAGAATGCAATCTTTTTATGACTCAAATTAATCGACCGGAAAATCCGACAAAATTTTAGTGAAAATCATCTGAATTCTATGTGAATCACTCAAATGTAATCTCTCCGCCAAAACACGTAATATTCACCTAAAAAGTATGATGGAAAATGTGTACGTGAATTTTACGAAACTTTTTGTTGCAGTGTAGACTTGGATAACTTTCAAGATCTCAATGTAAAACAGCCAGAATATTGGGTCAAGAGCTTTTTTAGAAATCTCTGAAAATTTATGATAGGTCTATGACAATTTCAAGATTAAAATAAAAATATTAGATTTCGTAAACAGTAAACGTTTCCATATGTTCGCAACTCTTCTTGTCAGACTTTATAAAGTCAAATTATTTACTCTCAACATTGGTCGTAAAAAAGTGACTTTCTTGTGACTAAATTTCAAGGAATAGTGACTTTTTAGTGACTGACTTGAAAATAGTGACCAAGTCACTAAAAAGTGACCTGCTACCAGCCCTGCCTAAGCAAAATCGGAAGTGGTAAAGTAAAACCTTTCACACCAAAACCTATGGTGTGGACCTGGATCTCGTAGCTTCTCACCTTCTAAATGTAGAACATGTTTATTACAGAAGATAAAAAATCATCAAGGCTGCTTCTTAGCTGGATACCATCGAAGCAAGATATCTTCTTTGAACCAAAGGTGGAGCGTGTTTGAAACTAATTTTAATCATTTTTAGTTTTCAGCACAGTTCTCTTTTTAACTTTCCAGGAGGATATGGGTTATATCCTATATCGATTTTGAACTCCATACTCTCGTTGCATGATCTGGTGATTAACTAATTAAAGAGCAATTCAAAGCAATAGTTGGAGTATAATGGTCCAACGATAAAATGAAACAATTATGGGACTGATTAAAATAGTCGGATTTCCTACGTATAATAGAAACAAGCAATACAATGTTTAAATGTAATAGGTATTAGAAATTTAATAGCACATTTTCTTTAATTGAGAAGCTCGATAGATTGATAACCTTTATTTTTGCTTTTGATCAAACGTTTTGACCCTCCTGACCCATTCTTCCACTACCCATTCGCTTGGTCATCTTGGTTTCCTTAGGAATATTATGTGACACGATTTTCACGGCACCTTAAGCTTACTTTTAGTTCCTCAACTGTACTGCAAAAAAACTACTAAGTTAGATGATTCGCTGCTAGGAAGGTAGGAGTAGTATCCATTTGTGGAAATATATATTCATCGGTAGGATCTTTGTGCACCGAAAGGGTTTATGTGAGCCAATGAACAATCTGTGTTCTCTCGCTCATTAGACACCTCATAATTTAGACTCGGGTGCATCTCAGCTACGTCGATCTTGACCTTTGCATTTTAACATTTTGAATGGCTGAAAAATAGAAATTAGTAATACTATTTCATAGACATTAACATGAATTTTCATATGAACTTGAATAAATACACGGCGAACGATTCGATATAACAAAAAAAAAGTCAACAACAAACCTCTACGCTAGCAACGCGTCATAAAAACAAGTGTTACTACGATGAAAATATAATCTTAGTTTAAAATACTTACGATACTTACGAGGAATTTAAAAATATTTAATTAATATTAGGTCTAAAGTTTATGGTGAGAAACCCCTAGGAACGGAACTATCTACCTACCCTCTTCTAAAATCATTCTCTAGCTTATAAATTATCTAACTAAAGCTTCATGTTAGATAGCATTTCAAACCAATTCCGAATGAATCTAACTTCAATATGATTGTGGAAGATAAACGTTTTTTAAAAAAAAATTGGCAAAAGCTAATGAAACTAAAAATCTTGAAACTTTTTTCTAGATACATTTAATCTAAAAATATATATGTTGCGGCTGAGCGACCGCTGGCAACGCCTATGTCTGTGCATACTCTTATTAATGAAATTCCACATTGAAAGACTCATAACACTAATTCAGTTCACATATACAAAAAGACACAATGAAATCATATGAGTACAATGAAAAGTATGTGGTAGCACAACCTTATAATTAACCACTTCATTGGAGCAGTGCAAAATGACGTTTACTACCACTCAAACTTCGAATAAAAAAAAATGTTTTGAAATTTCATCTTCTAGAAACGCGAAGTAGCCATCCATAATGGACCACTTTCTCAAGCAGTTTGGCGTGATTTTCTACAAACGATTTCACAAAAACTGAACCAAAAAATACTTTCTATTTTTTTATCAAACGCACAAATTTTCTCGAGGTTCTAGAAGAAAAAATCTCAAAATTTTCGAAATTCGAATGGTAGTAGTAAACGTCATTTTAACTGCTCAAATCAACTAAAGAGCCTAAATTTATAAAGAGGCGACATGTCAAAATTGGAACAATCTATTGTCTGTCAAAGTCATTCCAATCGAGCAGAAGACCTGTCAAATGGATAAGATGTCGTCTCTTTATAAATTCAGGCTCTTTAGAATCAACCCCTTCCAATCTGTGACTTTATTGCAAATAGCCATGTTTGGAAACATGAAAACAATGATTGATTTTTCCTCAGTGCTGAGGTTTGTCAATTCTTAAATGTATTCTAATCTATGTTCAGTTTCTACACAAATTGTGATGTGAAATTTGAAAATCAGAGCTTAAATATTTTGTTAGAGTGCTCATTACTTTTAATCGCCTAAGATTCAACAGCTTCATTTAAGTTCTCACTTTGAACAAGTTCATGCAGGCTGCACACAGAGTTAAACTCAATTTTCAGTCTCGTTAATTAACGCCATAAAAAACATTTAGAACAAGCGGAAGTTTGCGAAATGCCTTTCTTCGAAGTATTTGACAGTCACTATAGTTCCCTTCGAGTCAGTTTATCCCAATACAACCCGCACCTTGCGCTACGTTATCCAGTAGCATCAACCGGCGAAAGGCTTAATAAAATGAACCGCTGTAAGAACCGAGATCAAGAACTTCATAGACGTTTTCCAACCGCCAGTCCGCCGACCGCCGTGCCGTCGTTAAAAGGAACAGAAGAAATCACAAAAAGAACCAATATTTGCTCAAAGCCAAGAAGCTCAAACAGAGAGCTCGAAAGCCCCGCCGTCCGTCCTCATCGTCATCGTGGGCGATGAGCTGCTCGGAGCAAGATGGATTAGAGTCACCCGCCACTGACTGACGGAGAAACAGAGGGTTTCAATCTGGACGAAGAGGGCGCACTCTCCTGTCAGATCCACAGATCAATCCCGTCGTATAGAATGATAGAGGTCCCTAAAGACTTTTGACAGTTTTTGGTCATCTTGATTTCATGTTTCCCCGGGTGTCAGACAACATTTTTTTTTTCTTTTTTCATACGTCTGCATCGCTCCCGGATCGTCGTTGTGGAGATGACGCGACGGTTGATTTCGAGAAATTAGGAATTAGGCTACCGGAGTTTGCGTTGGAATGCTGAGGGTCGTATTTCACCTACCTGGTTCCATCTTGATGGCGGCGACGGTGACTGCTGCTGCCTTCCGTGTATCCTCCTCCGATTGAGTCAGCGACGTTGGCGGTGGCAGTGGATATTGGTACAGCTGAGGTAGCTGACCCACAAAGGCCAACGATTTGTTGCTAAATTTATGCAACAAATCCGTGCTGCTGAACCCGGCGGTCGGCTCCAACTTTGTTGATGTTCAAGGGTGTAACTGGACAAATAAAATGCCTACTTTGATATTAAAGGTATCCACTCGATCTTCACGGTTTTCCGCCTACTTTGTTTTGTTTACGTTTCTGGTGTTTAAAATAGTGTTTCGATATAGTTTTGTACTATTGGTTGATTTGAGATGTTTTGCTTCTAAAATCATCTATATTCCTGCTTTCGGTCCGGTAAGGCACTTTTCCTACATAGATTTTTGTTTTGATCTAAAACTTCACGATTGCTACTGTGATTTCGATTTTTTTTCTACTTGAGGTATTTCGCTTGCTTTGATCCACTTGACCCGGGAGGCAAAGTTTCTTGCTCTTTACACGATCATTTTCCACAACAAAGTTTCATTTTTTCAAACCGCTACGGCGTTAATCCCGCAAATCGACTGTTTATTACTGTGTGCAATCCATGGATGAACACTTTCACGCCCGTTTAATCACTGAACCACGAACCGGAAAGGACTGTCGACAACGTCCTGGCGGGGATGCTGGAAAAGGATTGCCTTTGCCTTGTGATGATCCTCCCACACTCCCACACACATGTACACGCACGAACGCACTTCCGCTGTTTGGCAACAGGGTCAACCCCCTGGTCAAAGTGACGTTGGTGGGGGCGAGCTGCTGTCAACCGTGTCAGTAGCGCGATGACAGCTATGACAGTGGCGGATCCGGGTGAGAGTGACCCTTGCGTGGACCTAAATCAACAAACACACCGAGGGGCTCGTCGGCAATAATCGATCGGGAGTGCAATTTTCACCTAAAATTCACCACCGCGAAAAAAGCCACGGTTTGCGCGCAAAACATTGAAGCACAGTGCGTGCGAAAACGACGGCTACTACGACAAACGACGACGACTACGACGACGGCGACACCAGCAAGAAATTTTCGCGTTTGGGCTATTCCTCCGTTCATGGCACACTGCGGCGATCATCTGTGGAAGCACGCGATGCGCTCTCTCGCGCGCCCGACCCGGACTATGTTGATTGCTCAACCGCCCTACACCAATACCAGCGCACAAGACAAAAGCCGCTCCGTTCGCCAGTTCCACCCTAGCAGCAGCCAGTTTCGCTTTCACCAACACACTCTCACCTCCCATCGCGTATCGACGCTCACCCTTCGCTGGTAGTTGTGTGCCGGCATAACTGACAGCGTGAAAAGGGGCGTGCCAGCCTACTACCACCCGTCAGTCCGTCACAGCTGAACGGCCAATCTGCTGCCAGCGAGCATAGCTAATGGGGAGGAGTTTTCGGAAAAATGGTTGGTGGTGTTGTGCACCAAACCGTCGCTGCTACTTTTCACACACAATTTCATAATCAAAATCCATTTTATTGACAATTCCTCTCGGTTCTCTGGTTTCTGGTTACAAACAAAAAAAACTACGGCACGCACTTTTTCCTTTCTCTCCATGTATGTCTGTCTGCCTGTCTGTCGGTCGGTCTCCCGTTCCGTTCCACCGTGAGCATGTTTGTGTTTATGCTAAATGCTTTCCGCTTCGCGGAAACGGGACAGAACAGGACCAAGCGAGAGATGCCTCGGAAAGATTAAGGTAAAACGATGTGTGGAAAATGATGCAAACTTTCGGTTCCGCTGCGTGCGTCTGACAGATGGATGGGGAAATATAACGGAACAGGACATCTCTCATCCCAGCAGTCCTTGCCGCTGCGCGTAAAATGGAAAATTACGTGAATGAACTAGCACCACGTAAACAAAAGCCAGATCGGATCGATAATACAGCTACGCGGAGTCGAAGCAGGAACAGAAGAAGGCGACGACGGCGACAACAGTCTCCGGTCTCCGTGGATGAGTAGGCTCTGGTTAGCAGCTAACGAAGCGTTTTAATTTTTCGGCAATGGGTCAGCGGAAATAAATTTGACACTCAATTTTCAAATTGATCAAGCTTCGCGTGAAAAGCGTAGTATGCTGCTGTGAACGAAGGGAAGAAAGGAACAGAAGGTCGCTCGGAGTGGTTCGTTGAGCGAGCAGGTGGTGGCGAGAATGATGATGCCCACGTCGCGTCCTCCCGTCTCGTTGAGATGAGGTCAAAAGAAAAACACAATAGAACAGAGGGCAGTTGGTGATATTCGGTTGGAAGCTGAGACAGCAGAATACGATGCGTTGATTTTTTTAGGTCATCGTGGCGAGCGGAGCGAATCCGGAACCAACGAAGAAATGGGGTTTGTTTTCGCGAGTCAGTTGAATAATTGACACTAATTAGCAACGCTTGTGATAATGGAGATAAGAAATCGGAGAGAGATTCTTTTCTGGGTGCATGTTCTAACGGTTTGCCTCTTATTATCAACAGAAAAAGATGTAAATTTAATAATTTTTTTCGAAAAAGAGACGACTCCAGCGTAGTGGTTAACTTCCATACCTCTCGTGAACAAAGTCACGAATTCAAATCTCATCCCCGGACAGGTCACAAAAATGACCCAGAAGTGCTACAATAATGTGGACAAGAATAATAGTTTGAAAAAAAAATTGCTCCAAACGCAAACCGGGATAGATGATGAACCGTAGCTATTCCCAACAACAATGTCCACGATATCAACTGTACTAAGCCTCATTGACTAGAGACAACGAAAATGGTCCATTTCACGCTAATGTCAATGATCAATGATTGAAACCTGATGATTGTCATTTTCTTTCGAATAAAACGCATAATTTTTTTTTATCTAGTACGCTTATTTGGAAGGCGCAATCGTGTTAGCTTTACGGAGCCGATAATCAATTGTTCATTGTTTGTTTGTAACAACTTTCACTTATTTCTATGTCTAGTAGGAGTTGGGACGAATACTCGTGGCTTACCCGAGGTTAGACGGGTACATTGTCGAAGGATAGGATCAGGGGATGAGCTTGGGAGTGAGGTTTCTTTGTCTCAACAGAGCGTTGTCACCAGTATGAACGGTAGTGCGGTTCCAGATTCGTCTGGAGTTCGACCGGCTATGGTGACCAGCGGCTGACAATTTAGTGCTGGTGGTTCAGTCAAACCCACAAATTTCAGAAGTGTTATCTGAATAGGGTGAATGTGAAAATGATGTACAGTAAATAAAATGCAAGTTTAAAATTAATCTATTTGTCGCGCGGGCATGTGGTACACGTGACCTAGGGCATAAAGGACTGAAGTTTAAACCCCGCTAGTCTGCTCGCCGTGCAAACTAAAAATTGCTCCAACGTCATTTAGTATATGGAATGGAGTAAAGTTAAATGGAACGATCCGAAACAGAATGGAGAATCAAAATTAAACAACAAATAAGGTTACCAGATACTCGCTTTTCTGATGATCACTTCAAAAATCGATATGTTTTCGATATGTTTCCATCGGAAAACCCCTCGATTGTTTATGTTTTGATATTTTGTGTATCCGAAAATTTGTGGTTCGTCGTGATGTCGCTAGGAAGTACAATATCAGCAAGGCAGCGGTTGGCAAAATTCTTCTGAAACTAAAAACGTTCGGTTTAGCGGCGTCGGTGGTGTAGTGGTAAGCGTGATTACCTCTCACCCCAGCAGGCCTGGGTTCAATCCCAGTCGGCGCCGCCGGGATGTTCTGAGGCATAACAATTCAAAGCCGTTAGTCCCCGGTTCATGAGTTGATGGGTCGATATGTAGGGTCCAGGTGTGGGAGCTGCCTCCCTGCGTCGGTAGCATTGGTGCTCAGCACGGAAAACAAGATCGACGGAAAACCAATCAAGGGAAAAAAAATAATAAAAACGTTCAAATCAGTGGTGGATCGTCCTGGCAGAGGCGCAAAACGGATGCGAGAACGGACACCATTATCATGCGCGAAGTCAAGAAGAACCGGAAGGTAACTCTCCGCGAGATCCAAGAAACGCTTCAGTTATCAGCTTCCGGTTGAATCGCTTAAGTTTGCTAAGGAACATGCTGATAAGCCCCTAGTGTTCTGGAAAATAGTTGTCTAGACGGACGACTCAAAATTCGAGCTGTTTAAGGTGATTCCTTGTAGAGTCCACAAATGGCCCCCACGTAGGCTATACATGCACTTCCACTTCGAATTTTCAATTGCACACATCGCGGAAATTAATGCCCCATTTAACCTGAAATTGCTACTTCATGATGTATGCTGCAGTACAGCAAACGTGGTGCAGATAGGGTGAGGAGCTTCAGGAGCGCCACATCCAAGGCACGGTGAAGCAGGGAGCAGGAAATGTGATGGTCTGGGGGTGTTTTTCGTGGGGACGGAATAATGACGGCAGATTCCTACATCAACATCCTGCGCCAAAATCTGGAGATTTGACTGATCCAGACGGGCCTTGAAGAAAAGTTCCTATTTCAACACTGGACAACAATCCGAAGCATACTGCCTCCACAAAGCCTGGACCTCAACCCCATCGAGAATTTGTGGGTGATTCTCGATGCCAGGGTTGACAAAACTAGTGTTGCCAATAAAAATAACTATTTTGAAGCCCTGGAGCGCACCTAGGAAGAGCTAGATCCACAGCAGCTAAAGAACCTGGCGGAGAGCATGCCGAAGCGCCTGCATCAAGTCCTGAAGGCCAAAGTAGGACATATTCATTATTAAAATGCCTTTCTTTTACTTTTACTTCGTTTTTGGGTACTTTTTTTCTCCACTGTTTTTTTTTTTCCAATACAAATTGTTTTTTTTTCTTTAATTAAAACTTTATAAACTTTATATATATATAAAATTAGATATAAAAAAAGACTACAGCGTTTTTTTTTTCCGTGATGCAATTTGATGTGGGACACCCTTTATCAGAGTAGGGTCAGAGTGAGACAATGTCACCGTTGGACCAACAATCAATACGAAACTAACGATTTTAAATTGGCTCACTACTTGACTAGCCTATTGGTCCCAAGCAAACGATTAACGCACCCCATTCATAGAGTTAACTCTAAGACCACTGGGTCCCGAAGAAAATCATTATTATTTTTGGCTCACTCAGTACCAGAACAACAGTCCCAAGCTATTTCACTCACCCCTGCATGTTCTGCATGAATCCACACACCCCTGATGTTATCTGTCAAACTTTCATAGCGAATCAAAACAAACATAGTGTAGTAATAGAATTTCAACTAGAATAGGGTACGTTAATCGTTTGCTTGGGACCAATAGGCTACTAAAGTGGTGAGCCAATTTAAAATCGTTAGTTTCGTATTGATTGTTGCCCCATTCTTGTCGAAATTCTAGTACTACACTATGTTTGTTTTGATTTGCTATGAAAGTTTGACAGATAATATCAGGGGTTCGTGGATTTTCCTATCTTTCGAGGGGTGCATCGATTAGCTCGGAACCGAAGAGAGTACCAGAGCTGAGCCAAAAAGTTGAGCACGTTATTTTGGGACCTACTAGTCTAAGAGTTACCTCTATGGTTGGACCTAGTTGTTTCCTGCACTGGCTGTCAGGTGTGCTTCGGTTTTATTTAATTTCCTTCGCGCGCAGCAACATGATTTTCGAGGGGTGCGACTCTATCTAAGATGCAGGAAATGTTTTGCTTTGCTGTTGTGAGATGCACTCCCGCTCAATAGATGGAAACACGATTGATTATGATTTTGAAGATTTCCTGCAAAAAGGTGAAGAGCGATGCGAGTAGATGGGTTTAGATGCAAGAGATGGAAAAAAGATTTTCGTAGATTGATTCGCTAGTGTGAGATTTTCCGACCATTTTATTTAGAGATTTAGATGTGTCGCAACCCTCGATGATTTTCTGCTTACTTTCCTAGTCACAACTTTCTTAAGCAGAGCATAGAGGAAGTAGATGAATTCTGATGTGAATCGTCGCATAATGGATTTTGATCCAAGTCCAAGGCTACTTTCCTAGGGGTTTCCGGAAATTGACTGGATCCTGGCTGTTCCCAATAACTTCCATTGAACTGGTTGATGAATTTTAATGTGATTCAATGGGTTTTGAACATATTCAGAA